CGTCAAAAAGCCATACTGCAGTGCCACAAACCCAGACAGAGTGCAGAGTGCCTGCTGACCTGCAAAATGACAGCAACATGGCTACTGTAATCCTTGCCTGGTGTGTACAGCATAAACCTTGAGACATGAGGAGAGATATTTAATAAACTGAAGCGGAGGCGCACTGGTCCTTGAAGCAATCTCTGCACAGCTGGACACAAACAGTGCCCCGGGGAAGCTGTGACTTACATGAACCCAGATGGTAGACATGCAAGTTGGGTCAGAGATTGAATATTTTACTAGTACAGGCACAGTGATGCTACGGTGGATTTTACTGATGCTAGATATGGATAGAGTTAAGTATTGCTGTTACAGCTATTATCTGTTCTTTCCTTTGATGGGTGGGAGTTTGAGCCTAGGCATTGTAGAGTAGTTATGCTTCTCTTTTTAAGCATAAGCTGTTTAACCTGAGTCTTTAAGAGGAACTTTGTGGAGTTAATTGATGACATATTTACGGACTCTTGACAAAGGTCATAGTACAAGTCAATTTTATTAATGAACATGCCAGTCAGGTGCAATAGGAAGTCAGGGTAATACAAGAAGAGAGTCGTTTACAGGCTATCGAGGTAAGCAATTCACATCATAGAGATTAGTTTCTTCTGCTCTGATGCAGAGGTTGAGCGCTGTGGGAACACATAGGAGTAGGGTGACCAGATGGCAACTGTGAAAAAATGGGACCCGGGGGGGGGGGGGGGGGGGGTGGTTTTAATAGGTGCCTCTATAAGAAAAAAGTCCCAAAAAACAGGACTATCCCTTTAAAAACGAGACATCTGGTCACCCTACATAGGAGGGAGCCGATGACTAGCAGCTATTGACTCCCGCATAACATCCTGTGACATGCTGTTGTCCAGTGCAAGTGGTACACAGTGAATAGATGCAGGGGTCTGCTGCTGAAATCACTGCTAGTTGCTCTAAATACATTCTCATGGAACTTCCGCTCCTGTAGCCTCTCCTGCTCTGGAATTGCCTTGGTACAGCAATAGTCACTGAATTAGAAATAATAATCCAACAATTGTGTTCAGTTTCCAATTCTAATACCTTCCCACTCCCCAGTATCAGCACCCTGTAAGAACATAAGCCACTTTCTTCCAAGAGAAAGTGGGAAGGAATTGGATTTTTTGGGTGGGATAGGTGCAGTTTGCAGCAGCTGCCAAAGGTTACCTGTTGCAGACTAATAGGACCTTAGGAACGGTATCCTGAGGGTTTCTAGCAAGAGCAAGGAAAGCCTTAGTCAAGAGGGGCCGGTGAAGGTGTAGCAAGGCTGAGAAAATTTGTATTTGTTATTCTCAATTATCTGAGGACGCTTTGTGGCTGGAAGTAGAGCAAGAACTGACAGGGATTTGAAGGGAATTTCAATGCATACAGTCTCTTCTGTGAGCAAGAGTCAGGCTAGCTGTAACCCTAATAACGCGAGATTTGTAGAAGCGAGGATTGTGTGAGGCGAGTGGGAAAGAACTGTGTGAGAAGTTGTTGCGACCTTGTGTAGATAAATATGGAATGTAGACTAGAGTCTAAATAGATGTGAAAAATAAGATATCAGGATGACCTATGTATAAACAAAATGCAGCTGTTGCTCATTATTGTATGTAACAAAAGGTATAAATGCTTGCCTTAACTGTTTATCTTTTGAGAGACCTGCCTAGGAGGGGGAAACCTTGTGTCCTAGTGCACTCTATGCAATTGCTTGAGAATAAAGTATCTGATTTGCTGCACCCAAAAAAGAGAGTGAGAACTCTGTTTTTCTCCAACAGTCAAGAGGGGCCGGTGAAGGCGAAGCAAGGCTGAGAAAATTTGTATTTGTTATTCTCAATTATCTGAGGACGCTTTGTGGCTGGAAAGGCACAGGGACCCTACATGTTGGCACAGCTAAATTAGACACACACACACACACCTCCCACCCCAAACTATTAAACTAGAACACTGGTTTTAGCCAAGGTTTGCCAAGATTACTCCAAAGAACCAAGAGAAAATTATGGCTAACATATTAACATGGTTCCTTTCCATCTATTTGTTGGCTGTCAGCAGAAGGGACGCATAGTTGGACAAAGCAACAATTGATTCCACCTCACTTGCTAGTGGGAGATATAGAGCAATTTGCTACCAGATAATGCTTATGAGTTATACAGAAAGGCAGAATCAAGTGCATTTGCAGGTAGGTAAGGGCAGATAGCTAAGCAGGTATCCTGGTCCAGGGCATGAACAGAAAGTGTAGCGTACATGCTAAGGCTTATTTTCCCAATGTGTAGTTTATTACAGTAAGATTTAAGAGTGCCTCTTATATAAGAATTTCACTGCTTAGCCATCATTTTGCATCTGGCTACAGGATGCAACAGAGCCAGCTGCTGTGCACAGTATTTGAAGTGTAGACAGAAATCTCCCAGAACAGTCTTTATGACTAAACACAGAGGGGGCTGCTGAAGCCAGCAGGGTTTGGGGAAGCTAGAACAGGTGGGTGGAGCAGGGAGTAGGCAGTTGCCATTTTTGCTGTGGCAACAGCGCAAGGAGGGAGCTTACTGACTCAAGGAGGAAGAAGGAACATACACCCTCATGGGAGGCTGCATCTGTCCATTTTAATAATGGCAGTGGTATCCACATAACACCGGGAAGTGTTCTCTAGTCCACACACATGCAAAACCAGGCCCCAACAGAAAAATCAAAAAAGCAACATATACCTGTTGTAGAGGGACCCTTGCCCCTCAAGCAGTCGCTTTCATGAACCTGGAACTATCTGAAGAGGTCATGTCATCCCAGTATAGTATCCATGCAGCTTCCATTTCTTGTCTTCACCCCTAGTCTCACCTGGGGCCACAGACGTGGTGTTCTGCTCCACCAGATTCCTTAGTATCATCCAGAATTATCTCAGGCTCCATTGATAGAGCCCCCAAGGAGAGTCCAATTTATTGTAAAATGGGCAGGCTTTCTTCCCTGCCCCAGAGCCACTGCTGACCTAGACTCAGACAGACTTTCAGTTCTTCTATTTTTCTTGCCAGAACCAGTAATACCCTGCTCTCTAACATGTTTGTTCTAACATATTCTTGTTCTGACATCACTGTGTTCTTAAAAAGTTAAACTGCAGCTGGTACACCCTCCTGCTCACAAGCGTCCAGCCATCTGCTTTGGGTCAGCTGGCAGCACACTTGCCAAGTGCATTGTTCCAAGACATGATCACAGTTCCAACACGCCACTTTTCAGTGCGCACAAGTGGATGCTGGTGAGAGAGTAGCATGCAGTGGGATGTGTTTAGGTGAGGGGCTTCCAGAAAGCCTGACCCCCTATGCCAGATAGACAGAGTACTTAAGCAGTGACTGGTGAGAGGACTGCTTACATAACTGAGATTAAGCCAGCACTTCCCACCTGTGCTGGGATTTCATCAAGTGAAACTGACATAGTGAGTGAAGACACAGTGGTTACCCTCATTCTGAGTAAGTCTGTTCCGCCAGATGATGGTAGGAACACTCGTGCATCACAGAAAATAGTGTGTGCATATATGGTGCAATAGGCATGTGCTATAAGCATGTGGCTAGGGACATGCTATACCAGAGAAGTAGAGTCAAAGCCAAACAGAAAAGTAGGCAGGCAGTATTTACATTTTTCTGCATTAAAAAAAAAAAAGAAGTCTTAAAAACACATTGATTCCCTGCTTCTACCACATTAGATTTCCCTGTAATTTCACAACACACTCAGCCTTTTCCGACCACGCACCGACAGAGACATCACCAGGCTGCTCTACATCTCAGCCATTGCCACGGAGGGATTGATGTTTTACACAAATTAGTGACCAACTAGTTTACAATGTAAACTATCAGCAATTAATTTTTCACAACGGATGTGGTGGCAAACACACCCAAGTGGATACAGAGACTGATGTTTAGAGTTGCTGAGCAAGCTGACTTTTCAGAAGCAGTACGCTCAGATGTGCTAGCATTGAGGCACTACAACGTGACTAACAGCTGCTGCTTTCCTCATCTTCACTCATCTTTGTTCATGTCCTTTGCCAGCCTAGCAAGCAGCTGTCTGCACTCAGTTGCTGCTGTCCTAGTCTACTCATGCCCCTTCCTACCCAGCATACAGCATCTGTTAGTGTCCAGCTTCTGCCTACCCTTTGTTCATACCCTCTTGCACAGCAGCTGTCAGAATTCCCTGGCACTTTTGAATTGAAAGTCACAGGTCCAAATAGTTGAGGGTTCAGAGTCTTGGTTATGGAGACAACAGAAATCCCCTTTGATACGTTATGGAGCCCTGCTCTGCCTGCTTGAGGCAGGAGGATAAGCATTACCCCTTTTAGGGGCAGAAAGGGCAGAAGAAAGCTCCCAGAAACAAGACAACACCCTGCAACTGATCAACACCTGCCACGGCATCCTAAAAAAGGGATAGCTATAAGTATATTGGATGACACTGTTGCTCAAGTCAACACTAATTATTTAACTGCTAAATCATTAGGCTTCAGTTATCCTCAGTCAAAAGTAAAAACTGTTCCCATCCAGCTCAGAGCTGTGATAAGTGCATTAAACTGCATTAGACACAGGGCTTGGAATAGAGATCAACAAGCTTGCAGACATACTTGTTGACAAATATTTCAAAATAAATTACCGAAATAATTGAAACTGGCGTGATTATATTGTGTTATTTTGACAAATAAAATATGCAGAATTTTAAAATATTGTGCACAGAATTAATTTTTTGGCACAGAATTCCCCATGAATAATGAGTTGCATCTTGTCATTCAGTTACACCGTGCTTCATGCAACAGAGACTGCCTACTTCTCTCCCCTGCTGATAGCTCGATAGGCTATGCGGTGGTGGAAGTGCAATCTCAGGCTTAGAAAAATCTTGGCCAGGTTAGAAGGAGGAAGGAAGATCTAGCACAGCCCAATTCAGAGAAAGGATGCACCGGTAGTGTTCCAGATTGCTACTGCCTGGCTATGCAGCCCCACATTAGATACTTCTTTGCTGATCCTTACCTCACGGAAGCTGAGCTTGCCATCAAAATCCTCATCCACTTCCTTGATCATGTTTTTCAGGCCCAGATGGGTCTGAGGAGCTCCCAGCTTCTCCATCATCAGTTTCAGCTCCATTAGGTCTATATACCCATCCTTTCCAGAGTCATACCTGAGGGGACAGAGGGTAAAAGGTCAGTATTTGTCACACCCCCTGCTACACTGACAACACAGGGAATTTTCAAAGCTTAGTTTCACAACATAGGTAAGTGGTAGTCTAATTACTGACACTCTAGGCAATGTGTTCTTAGGACATTCCTCCAGAGAATGAAGTGTGAAGACAGAAAAAACAAACACAGACACACACACACACACACACCCCATCGATCCATGCTCAGGGACATGGTGACTAAACCAGCTGTTGAAATCTGTTAAGTTTGGGGAAGTCACATGAAGCCTTTGAAATTAGCTTCCAAGGATAAAAGCAGATTAGTCTGTAGGGAAAAATGCAGAAGTGACTGCGGAGCAACTGTGCCAGAAATATGAAAGGAGGGAGTAGGGAGGAACCCACACCACCACCACCAGACTTTAGGCCCTTGCCCATTGGTAATGTAAATAAACATTTCACCATGCCTGCAAGACATGTGTATCAATCCATGCATTCTTACAACTCAATGCTCTACACCATGCACAAGTGTACTAGAGGATTAAAGTCAATACTGTATGCCAGGCACGTAACAGAGAGCTACCCAAAGCCACGCCTAGAAGTATCTATTCCAGCCAAGGTCTTTCACACTACTTTAGAATTTAAAAAAAACTGGGATTGTCACTCAACCAACAGGAAGCCAAAATACTCTGGCACAAGTATTTTACCATTTGAAGGGCTCCCTGTAACAGACAGAGATGCTATATCATTTAAGAATACTGATTCTGTAATAAATTTTATGAATACTGTGTGTGACCTGATCAATAAAGACAGGTTTCAGAGTAGCAGCCCACTTCTTCGGATCAATAAAGTTACCGTATAGTAATTACTGAGTTAAGACTTTTCTGCATGAATGTACTGAGCAAGCTTACTAGGTGACTATTGGGAAGACCATCAGGAAAACAAGAGGAGAGCTATAGCTAAGCAACCTCTCAAATACTTGGGGGGCAATTACAGCACAGTGGCCTACTTCCAGGCTCCAACTTGAAGTTATACAGCTGTTTTGCCAGCACTGGGAACTAACAGATCAAAGGGCTATAAACAGTTAGGAAGTGGACTTGTTCTCTGAGAAGAGAGGTCAAAGGACAGGACAAGATTTAAAGTGACACTCTGGGGCTGGGGAAAGAGAGAACTGTTTTGTCAATGAAGGGAAGAGACTGATCACCCAGACCCTAACAGTTTTGGGGGTCCATAGGAAGCTTAAACCTACCAGAAGCCTGATGGATGTGGGAGATGGGGAGGCACCTGGTAAGGTAGACGTGTGTACACTCTGTTTATTTTTTTATAAGATCTTTTCTCTGAAACACTTTTGTTCAAAATACATACTTTGGTCATTGTCTTAACCACTGATTACTGCTCCTAGAGTGAACAGAACTGCAGGTATTGAAGAAAAGTCAGGCCTACTGAGGTAATCGTGGTTAGCACCCGGAGAGTGCAACTCAAGGCTTGGTCCAAGAGTTGAAAAAATCACAGGATTCTTCCTCTAGAAAGGAGCTGGTTAGAGCCTCTTGATCCGAGAGGAGGTATACCCCAAAGAGACCAGGAGGGAGGAGAGGAGCAGATAACCCAGTAACTGTGACATTCACTAATGGGGGGCCAGTAGGAACTTTTAGGGTGAGGAGAGAGGTGAGATTCTGCTCCTTATGCAAAATAAAGGATCACTTTAGAAATGCACAGGGATCCAGAAATGGGAGTCTGCTGCAGGGTATCTGGCAAGTTAAAGGAAAGAAGTATGGAGCAATCTATTGACTTTCAAACAAAGGTCTGTGATAAACAGATTGAAGGTAGCAGCTGGGGGCAATAAACTGAAGACAAGCAGCTCTTGGTGCAGACACAGACTGCTGTAGGCTAGACTGTTACTTCCTAGATTCTGAAAGAGAAGAGAGCCCTTCACTGTTAAATGTCACGTCAGCAAAACTGCTGTTTCTCATAAGTGAGCAGAGATCCCAGTTCAGAAGGAAGCAGCAAGATGAAATCTAAGACATTACATGGACATGCTATGCTGGTCTGGTCTTTAAATTTAAAAAAAAGTTAGTTGATTTTCTAGCAGCATGTGCCATGCCAACTCTTTTACAGTAGTGCCTTTTCGTGCTTTGCTGTGGGCTTCAGGCATGTGCTCATAAGGCTTTTACTCTTCCTTTAGAGGGGAACAGCAATACCTGCTGGGTCTTCAGTGGTAGAAGCCAATGGATTTAAAGTGTTAATAGATGAACATGAGACTTTTGATAATTGAGGTGACTTAGGATCACATAGATTCCCCACTGGTCTTCTTCCTTATACCTAGAGAACCACATTTACTCCAGGAGAGAGGGAGAGGAGAAGAAAGTGCATTGTAATTAAGGCAAAAGGAGTGATGAGTGAATTGGAGCTGAGAAAGCAAAGAAAGGAGCTCTAATGCTGAATGAATAAGGAAGGGATCTCTGCCAGTTGCAGCACTGGCTGGCTGACAAGAGCACAGCATCACTCTGAACAGGGATTCAGTGCGTAACTTAGATAAGAAACCACAGCAGAATGGCAGGAGCTGGGTGAGTTTCCTAAGTGGAAGGAAGGGGGGGAGAAGTCTGACTGAGGGCAAACAACACTACTGTACATCCCATTTTTTTCTTTTACCCTATACTCTTCTCCCTAACCCATTCTCAGCTTCCCTACCTTCAAACATTTCAGAATTCTTAAGTTCGTTCAATACTTTTGATGGCTTCAAAAAGAAAGTCCCAGTGACAGCTTTCAAGCTTTCCTCTTTGGCCAGAGCAAGTCAAATCTTCCAATCCTTCACGTTTCACTCACCATGAGTTACGTTAAAACAAAAGCTAGCCTTCCCAGACTTTAAGAGCAACATAATCACAGTTCCCTTAGAAGAAGCTCAGTCCAATTAAGAAGCTTACACAATCAGAAAAGAAGCTGCATTAGAAACGAGCATGAACAAAGCTGCTGGTCTCTTAGCTGTTGCATGGAGTGAGCAGAGTGAGGTGGGGGTACAACCAGGACTGTCCCCCCACCCACAAGAATGAATACACACAGGGGGAAATGGAGAATGCTGCTTCTCCAATGGGTTGGGATGGCTTCAGAGTTTGTCAGAACACTAAGTGCCAGGGGCTGCTATGGAGCTTTCCTCCTTTTCCCATTGTGGATCCAGGGATGGCACCCTAAAAGGAATCCCCAGCACCCTCCCCTTTTCCAGCAGCTTGAAGGGAGGAGGAGGAAGAGGAGGAGAGTTGGCTTGGCTTCTTGCTTGACCATCACTCTTGGCTAGTGCCCCTTCCACCAAAAGATTGGTCTATGGCCAGTAGATTTAGTGTAAAATTTTCAGAAGCACCTAGTTACTTAGGAGCCTAAGTCACTTTTGAAAGTTTTATGCATAGTCTCCTGGCTATTATATACGTGATAAAGTTTCCAGCTGCATGGTAGCGGGTGCATGGATAGGGGCATATAATTGGTGGTGAGTGGATGCACTGGGGCTTTGTTGGTTGAAGGAAGGAGGCATGAAGGAAAATGCTGATGGGGAAGTATGGGGGTTGTCATGCGACAATGACCAAACAGAAAGTGACACTTTCTTCCAATGCTGAAGAAGGAATTGATTGGAATAAAGGAAAGTGTATGATCCCTGAAGCCCTCCCGTGTTTGCTTCACAGCAGAACCTTCCTCAAGCTCCCCTCTCACCCCCATTTCTTGTCCAGACCTTATGGGGGAGGGGGGGAAGTACATGAATCCACAGAGGCATACAGAACTTTTTGGGAAAGGGGGCAGAAACAGAAGAAAAACAGGGAAATTGATATGGGTACTGGAGACGGGGGGGGGGAAGGAGAAAGAGTAAACAGACATGACAACTCAGGAAAAAAGCTACAGTATGGTTCGTTGTAGAAAAAAAAATGGAGTGGGGACAGGAAATTTACTAATTTAACTGAATAAATATTTTCTAGTGTATTACCTGCCTTAGTATTAAGTTGTATTTTAAAAAGTGTCACAGCAATTTGATTGATATGGTAACAAAATATAGTATCCAATGGTTATTCTTTAAGTGCAGGGAGAGGAGGAGCATTAAGTGGCAAGGGGTCTGGTATTTCTCTGTGGCTAAAAAGAAGCATGGTATGTTTTTCAAGCCCTGACCGGAGCATCCAGTGCTGTCTCCATGACATGTATATCAGAAGCCGGACTAGAAATAGGACTGGAATGAATATTTCCCATCTGGATTCCTGACATAGGACACATCACCTTTTAAAGAGGTGTCCATTAATTCAAAGCTGAAGCAGAAGGAGGACACATGCCTAGAGTTCCTCCACTCCTCATAAAAGTGATGGACTGTGCGCAGATTCCCTAAAAGGCATGGGATGATCTCACTCTTCAAACAACTCATTTAGCATTAGCAAGTTCATCTGCTGTTAGACAACATGCAAGACTTTACAGTGTCCTTCCTGCCAGGCCTATAAATATCACTACAACAGGGAGTCAACATGTCACACTCAGCAACCTTTGCTGCTGAATGAAACATTTGCTTCCAGATTGGGGTCTTTATCCTTAGCTGGAAGGCATTTCCCAGTTTGATGAGTGCACCTCTGGTGATGGGGAATAAAGTAAGGCAGCATTGGCATCCCTGATTATCGTTCACACATGACTCCGTAAAATGTGGAAAAAGAACAGGAGTACTTGTGGCACCTTAAAGACTAACAAATTTATTAGAGCATAAGCTTTCGTGGGCTACAACCCACTTCTTAGCCCACGAAAGCTTATGCTCTAATAAATTTGTTAGTCTCTAAGGTGCCACAAGTACTCCTGTTCTTTTTGCGGATACAGACTAACACGGCTGCTACTCTGAAACTTAAAATGTGGGTTATATAGCTACAAAAGAAACGGATGTACTGTATATTGTGTACTGTATGCTCACTTCAGCATCGTTTTAGTCTAAAAATTAGACATCCCACTACCAAAAACTCAGTTTAACTCTGGCTTCTTATTCCATGTTATCAGGAGGC